ACAAGCAGTCCCTGAGTTACAAACATCCGACTTACATATGACTTGTACTTAAGAACAGAGGCAGCGTGATGTTATGCTGTTCCCTGAAACCGCTGGGCTGCCATCTTGCTGCTCACAGCATACTGCCACCTACTGTCCAGTGGACCTTTCAGCAATCCCACATCGCTGCATGGATAGTTTACCCTTCCCTATGCAATACAAAACCTAAAAAAAAACTTTTTGGCTGGAGTTGTACTTAAAAAAAAAAAAAAAAAAAAATTGCAGATTGCATAGAAATTCAACTTAACAAACCAACATAACAAATCTTGTTCATAACCGGGGACTGCCTGTACATAGAAGATGACATTTTATAGTATGGTTGCTTTTAAGTGTGATTTTTGTTTTTGCTTCAAGTAATGAAAATGCCCATTTCAATGTCCTGTAACACAAGATATTCTTTTTCTTTCTTCCTAGAAGCAAGTGATCAAAAGCAATTGGACATCTATCCCAAAACACATATTTTAATTAATACCAAGGAGGCAAAGCATGTGAGGATTTATTTTGAAAATGAGCATGACATTGAGAGTGCTGTTATCAGAACCTATGGGGAGGAAATGGTAAGCTTGATTCTCTGCTGTTGGGTATGTGTGTTATGTGTATGTATGCAAAATCTAGTCCTAAATAATTGGGAAATGACCTGGAGGTCTGACCATGCTAAATTGGCATCACCAATCAGGAAAGGCGATGCTTAAAAACATTTTAAAATCTCAACCAGGACACCAGAAAAAAGTTTCAGTAAGGGCCAGTTCACAAAGCAGTTGTTTTTTACCTGCCCTGTTTGCACTGCACCCCAGAGGCACAGTGCAGTGAGCGGTGATTAAAGTGCAGACATGTTGCATGTCATCGCAACGCACAGGAAGCCACTGCATGTTTGCGCTGCCGTGCAGAGATACAAATAAAGTATCACTTCAAATAAAGTTGGCAGAAAAAAAGAACATCACACCACCTTACTGTAGCCAACACTGACACTAATCTACTCCGGTTTAGTGTGTGAACAGGCCTCAAGTCTAAACTCACTGGTAGCCTCCCTGGCGGTATTCCCAAGTGTAGATCGGGGTAAAGTACCACAAGCGGTAACCCCGAGCTACACTCGGGCTTACCATGCAGCGCTGCTCCGGGATCTGTTCTTCACTTACCTTGTCCTGCGCTCCCGCGATCTCCCTCCTGCAGTGTCCCTTGTAATTTCCTCTGGCGGATGCTGGCATCTGTCTTCTGGGTTCCGTCCCCTGCGACTTCGGGACGTACGGGGACGGAGTGGCGGGAAATTTGAAAATGACAAAAAGTGACATTCACTAAAATCACATAGTAAAACATCAAACCATTTCACATACATTTTGTCCTGTGCCCTGCCTGCATTTTTACTGTTCTTTCTGCCTGGAAACTGAGTTTTGTCCATGGAGTCCAAAAAGCGTCCCTTTAGGTCAAAATCGGTTTTAGACCAGCTAGAGAACAGCGATAGTAAATTAGAACTACTTGCAGAATTGAGTGATAATGATTCGTGGGGAAATTCGTCATCAGACACTGAAAACGTTTTTGCGACTTTGCTCAGTGATGTTAGAACTTGGCGCTATATTTCAAATTTCAGTGTTTTTGGTTTGATTATATTATTGAATTAAATTTATTATTATTTTTTATGATTATTTATTAAATTATAATTTATGATTTCGTGTTTAAAATTTTAACATATCCGGGATGTTTTCTAGACTCTTGTTCGGACAGATTTCAGTGAGTTATTCCTAAAAATTACAGGCCTACAATAAAAAAAATACATATTTCCATGCAAACAAATTTACTGCTTTGAGCACAGAAATATGGACATAATCAGACCACTATGGAGGTTAATGAGTCAGTAAAATAATATTCATGCATGTACACTGTATTTGAAACAAACCTTTTATTTTCTTTCAGAACAGGACTACTTCCACCTGACCTGCTCAGCCTTATGTCCACTGTATTATCTTCTGCTATGAGCTTGCAGCTACTTCAGTGACCATGAAGTCATAACAGAAGTGTTCCCTAGACTTTTTTTTTTTTTTTTTTTTTTAATATCTGCTATCAACAATGATTGCAGTTAATCATTAAAAATGGACTCCCTTCATATCCCCTGTGTGTCTTTCAATGCCCACAGCTCTTCCCCAACTCAGTGTGCTGCCTTATCTGTCCAGGCTCACTCCCTGTTGCTCTGTGGCCTCCAATCTCCCCGAAGCTCTTCCCACAAGTGTCGACTTCTGAAACCCTGATGTCTGCCAGTAGGGGAGGATTGGATGTTTTAGCAGCGGAGCTCCATAAGTATGCTCTTTCTGCTGTGAAGGTTTAGGATGAATTATTTCACAGTGCCTTCGCCTATAGAGGTCAATGAAATACTGTTTAGAGCTCATTTACTGCTTGACAAGAATATGTAAGTTTGTGCATGTCCATTGCCTGGCCAAAACCTCTAGAGCATTTTAGTATCTTTTTAAATTTACTAGGGGCCAGTATGGTCCTCTTGCTTTGAAACCGCCGTTCTTGCAATTATATTTATATACGCTACACTTTTTTTGTGTGTTCAAGATTATCAGAAATCAAGATGCTAATAATGAAAGTGCAAGTCAAGCAAATTATTCAACTTCTGTTGGTAAGCTGAGATTGTGTGAAGTGTTTACGCATTGTATGTATGTTTAACTGTCTAAGCACAGTGCTTTATAAATTTAGCTGTTAAAAGATTTTTGTGCTTTTTACCTTGAACACTAATAAAGCCTTCCTTTTTAAGCTTCAGCATTGGGGATTGTCTGAAACTTGAGTAGGAAGTTCTTTACAAATCGTTTTCAGAACCTGTATATGGAGTAACCTTTGTCACTGGACCAAGAACTTTAATTTTCTATTGCATTAGTCTAGACTTGTGTCCATATTTTAGCCAGGACCTTTTAGGCTCCTAAAAAGGGAAAACCTTAGGCTGAACTTTGTGCTAGCATCTTGTTAGACTTTTTTTTTTTTTCTTGTACTTTTCCCAAAACACACAAATTATTATTTCCAGTGGTGGCTGGAAATTTTTCCATGTAGTATATCTCTACATGAAAACATACATATTCTTACATTTGTAGAACTAGGGTTCTTGGTTTGTGTTTTTAAACACTAAACTTCAGAGCTAGTACATTTGTTAAACTGCAGGGGGTTTATTTACTAAAATGGGTTGTTCACTTTACACCTATGCATAAATTCTGTTTGTTTGCAAAGGTCAGCCACCCATTCAGGTTTAGTGACTGCTGCATTAGTGCTCTTCACCAGTAGCCAACTTTTGGGGAAGCTATTTGTGTTTACTCTATACTGTAGGGCCACCAGCTTTTGTTTTTGCAGCAGTTTATTAAAGAATATGTAAACCCACGATCATGTGCCTGTTGTACCATGTAATTGTGTGAAAACGTTTCCTGTTCTCTTTGCATTGCTTTCTTTGTGTGAAATCTCACACACACACACACACACACAGCCTTTCATTAGGAAGATGAGTGTTCTGCTGTTTCTCCTTCCGCTGCTTTTATGCACCAAAGAACAGAGGGATTGTGATCACTTAAAAAAAAGAAAAAAAAATGTTATAGTGTTTTTATATCTATACACTGGATCACCAAATGGCGACCATGGTCTAGGCTGAGACACTGTCCCATCCAGACCTGCCACAGTCGCATCATATAGGAGTCATCAGTTCTTCCCCCTCAGCTTCGCAGACCTGACATCGAGAGGCAGCACAGCACTCGACAAAGGGCAGGAGCTGTCCCAGTTAACTGGTTAATTGCTAGGATGCAGGGAGGTAATAGCAACCAATCACAAGCTAGTTAGCAGGAAAGGTTGTGCAACTGCCCCTTCCATCCAGAACTGTCCTGCCTCCCGATGTCCACTCTAGACCTGCCATGCCTCCCATCCTGTGTATGGTTGGACAGGGAAGAGGGCTATGTCCTTTCTATGAAGGGGTGGGAGGAGACTGGGAGTGTTATGAAGGGGGGCTGGAGACTGCAATGTGAAGGCGGATGCTAAGTGAGGTTGAGTACACTGCTGTGAAGGGGGGCATTAAGAGGGGGGTTGAGTACACTGCTGTGAAGGGGGGCCTGTGATGTAACGGGGAGGAGGATCTGATCTTGATGTGATGGGCTGTGATATAAAGGAGGGGGGTTGTGATGTGCAGGGGGACTGAAAAGACTGGTGTAATAACGGGATTGTGATGGACTCCGGGTCCCATCAGTCCCCCAACATTGGAATTTGCTAAGAGCAAGACTTGACTTGACTCGACTCTTGGACCCCTGTTCCTTTTTTTATATCTTTTGAGGACCAGTGGGTCGGACCCAAAAAAGTCCGTCAAGACAAAGACTTGGGAAACAGCACAGCTACAATTCCATCCCTCCCGGCAGGGGCAGCATCTAAACTGACTGGCGATAGGCAACCTGACTATAAACACACCAGAATATAAGTAAAGACTTGTTTTAATAGTGTTATCCTTTTCCCCCTGCAAAATCTCAGCTTCTCAGCATGACCTTATTTTTGTTTTCTTTCAGGGATTTCTGTAGAATCCAAACCCCAGCCTTGGCAACAAGATCAGTCAAACCCCTTAAAGACTGAGGAAGCGTCTTCTGATGAGCTGCCTTGTCAATCTGAGTGTCCTCCTTCTGTGAGTTTAATTTCTCTGTCACTCTGTGTTCAAACTAGTTTTTTGAGTTTAAGTACCGTATTTTTTCGCTCCATAAGACGCACTTTTTTCCCCCCAAAAAAGGGGGGAAAATGTCAGTGCGTCTTATGGAGCGAATATGGAGCGGCCGGTCCGGTATTTCCACCGCCGCCGTGTCAGAATACCGGGCCAGCCGCTCAGCTCTGCAGTGCGACCTTACCAGTTCCTCTATCCAGCGGTGCGCTGTCTTCCCGGCTTCTGTAGTGTGGGCGGCTCGGCTTGACAGCCGGGTGCCCAGTGCGCATGCGCGAGAAGCGGTGCGCTTTGTGAATGGTAAGGCGGCACCTGGGACACATGACAGGTCCCAGAAGCCGCCGGACCAATCACAAAGCGCAGCGCTTCTCGCTCATGCGCACTGGGCACCCGGCTGTCAAGCCGAGCCGCCCACACTACAGAAGCCGGGAAGACAGAGCGCGGCTAGATACAGGAACAGGTAAGATCAAACAACTCCGCGGTAGTAAGAGCGGGTACCTGTCAAATTCAGGTACCCGCTCCCCCCCCCTCCCCAAAGGTCAGCAGTCATCTCCTGTACTGTCCACAGTCTCTGGTCATCCCTGTACTGTGTCCCCTGTCTCTGGTCATCTCCTGTACTGTCTGCAGTCTCTGGTCATCTCCTGTACTATGTCTGCAGTCTCTGGTCATCTCCTGTACTATGTCTGCAGTCTCTGGTCCTCTCCTGTACTATGTCTGCAGTCTCTGGTCCTCTCCTGTACTATGTCTGCAGTCTCTGGTCCTCTCCTGTACTATGTCTGCAGTCTCTGGTCCTCTCCTGTACTATGTCTGCAGTCTCTGGTCCTCTCCTGTACTATGTCTGCAGTCTCTGGTCCTCTCCTGTACTATGTCTGCAGTCTCTGGTCCTCTCCTGTACTATGTCTGCAGTCTCTGGTCATCTCCTGTACTATGTCTGCAGTCTCTGTCATCTCCTGTACTATGTCTGCAGTCTCTGGTCATCTCCTGTACTATGTCTGCAGTCTCTGGTCATCTCCTGTACTATGTCTGCAGTCTCTGGTCATCTCCTGTACTATGTCTGCAGTCTCTGGTCATCTCCTGTACTATGTCTGCAGTCTCTGGTCATCTCCTGTACTATGTCTGCAGTCTCTGGTCATCTCCTGTACTATGTCTGCAGTCTCTGGTCATCTCCTGTACTATGTCTGCAGTCTCTGGTCATCTCCTGTACTATGTCTGCAGTCTCTGGTCATCTCCTGTACTATGTCTGCAGTCTCTGGTCATCTCCTGTACTATGTCTGCAGTCTCTGGTCATCTCCTGTACTATGTCTGCAGTCTCTGGTCATCTCCTGTACTATGTCTGCATCTCTGGTCATCTCCTGTACTAGTCTGCAGTCTCTGGTCATCTCCTGTACTATGTCTGCAGTCTCTGGTCATCTCCTGTACTATGTCTGCAGTCTCTGGTCATCTCCTGTACTATGTCTGCAGTCTCTGGTCATCTCCTGTACTATGTCTGCAGTCTCTGGTCATCTCCTGTACTATGTCTGCAGTCTCTGGTCATCTCCTGTACTATGTCTGCAGTCTCTGGTCATCTCCTGTACTATGTCTGCAGTCTCTGGTCATCTCCTGTACTATGTCTGCAGTCTCTGGTCATCTCCTGTACTATGTCTGCAGTCTCTGGTCATCTCCTGTACTATGTCTGCAGTCTCTGGTCATCTCCTGTACTATGTCTGCAGTCTCTGGTCATCTCCTGTACTATGTCTGCAGTCTCTGGTCATCTCCTGTACTATGTCTGCAGTCTCCGGTCATCTCCTGTACTATGTCTGCAGTCTCCGGTCATCTCCTGTACTATGTCTGCAGTCTCTGGTCATCTCCTGTACTATGTCTGCAGTCTCTGGTCATCTCCTGTACTATGTCTGCAGTCTCTGGTCATCTCCTGTACTATGTCTGCAGTCTCTGGTCATCTCCTGTACTATGTCTGCATCTCTGGTCATCTCCTGTACTATGTCTGCAGTCTCTGGTCATCTCCTGTACTATGTCTGCAGTCTCTGGTCATCTCCTGTACTATGTCTGCAGTCTCTGGTCATCTCCTGTACTATGTCTGCAGTCTCTGGTCATCTCCTGTACTATGTCTGCAGTCTCTGGTCATCTCCTGTACTATGTCTGCAGTCTCTGGTCATCTCCTGTACTATGTCTGCAGTCTCTGGGTCATCTCCTGTATATGTCTGCAGTCTCTGGTCATCTCCTGTACTATGTCTGCAGTCTCTGGTCATCTCCTGTACTATGTCTGCAGTCTCTGGTCATCTCCTGTACCTGCAGTCTCTGGTCAGGTACTATGTCTGCAGTCTCTGGTCATCTCCTGTACTATGTCTGCAGTCCTGGTCATCTCCTGTACTATTCTGCAGTCTCTGGTCATCTCCTGTACTTCTCTGGTCAACTATGTCCGCAGTCTCTGGTCATCTCCTGTACTATGTCTGCAGTCCATTAGTTAGAATATTTTTTTTCCTGTTTTATTAAAACCTAGGTGCGTCTTATGGAGCGAAAAATATAGTCCTTTTATATTGTAAGTTATACAGAAACATTTTGCTATTGCAGTAGAAAAATATTCCTGTAAACACTTTTGGCAATGCTGGTACAATGGCTTATTATGAATTCCACGGTCATGTAAATGGCCAGCCCATTAAAAGATAATTCTCTGGAAGGAGGAGTCACTTTTTTCCTAGTGCCTATCCTCCCAAGGGCAGGACTTTTTAAAGGTCTGCTGTGTCCCCCATTTATACTCATTGCTTTTGAAAAGCATATTACAGTATGTATTAAGAATCTTGTATTCATAGCGATATACATACATTAAAATCATTCATATCACACTTCCAGTTCTGGCTTAAAAGGAGTATTCACAATTTGAGATATAATGTATTCTGTGCATTGCAGTATTTACTGTATATTGGAATTATGCAGATGAAAAATTCAATCAAGTCAATAAAGAAACCGCTGTGAACATACTGTATATGCAATACAGTGTCAAACATTGCCTGTAAATACTTAAATACTACTTTAGAGTTTGGTGTTTACTTTTATTGGTGACTGATCAAGCTCTGTGTCTTAAGAGTAGAATAGTGGTAATTGGAATGATGATGACTTTGTATTATGTGTATTATTAAATTTATGAAAGCCATTTAATGTATAATTGCATTATAAGTTGATAAATTTGAGTTATCTGTTGACATTAGTTGTATACTGCTGATAGTGTACTTATGTCAAAGTATGTTTATATTTAGCTTTCAGCAATTCCCTTGTGCCGCATGACAGCTACTGGCAAAAGCAGTAGCTCTGTGAAGCAGTCGATTTTTACTCTATTGCATGATACTGTCAGTCTGTGGACAGTTTCTGCTTGCAGGACAGCGAAGGATCATGAGGGACTCTAATGTTATTTTGTCTAGCTGTCTGAATCACAAGGCTAATTGAATAAAAGTACAAATGTTAGCAGGAAAAATCCTTCACATCTGAATTTTGATTATGCATGTATTTGTTTGTTTGCCTGGGGCTCAGCTGTATTTATTTATTTTTTTTTTTTATTATAATTTAGCCAGTTGCCATCCACTTTTTTACCTTTCATATCTCCTCTTCTCTTGCTTGGCATGAAGTCCCCCTCAAAATTCAAACCAGACCCTTATCCGAGCTTGCAACTTGGAAGGCCAGGAAAGGAAGTGGGAGGGGTGATCCTGCACCCCTCTCCTAAATCAAACCAGACCACATGCACTCAACTTGGGGGGGGGGGGGGGTACGTTACCAGACTGGGAGACCCCCCCCAACCATCCCAGCAAAGCACTTTGTCCTCATGTTGATGAGGACAAAGGTCTCTTCCCCACAACCCTGGCCCGGTGGTTGTGGTGTTGCAGGCGGTACATTAACATCCCCCCCAGATACCGGCCCACCCCTGTGAATGAGTAAGGGGCACATAGTACACCATGGAGAAAGGAAGACGTCACTTAAAGATTCACATTTTTTTTTACTGGCTGAACCCTTTGGTCCAAGACTTTATTTCCTCCAAGAGGACTAGCATCAGTCCATGCATTGTCTGGAGATTGTTAAAGGAAAAACAAAAACCTGAATAAAGGATATTAAAACATGGGTGTTAAAGAACAACTCTAGTCAAAACATTTAGTTTTGAACAGAGTGAAAAAGGGTTAAGAACTCTGTAAGGTTTCTGAAGTCATGGGGGAAAGTCATGTCTGAAAGTGGCAGTGAGCAAAATCTCAGTATAGATGGTAATAAACCTATTTTCTGAAGTAGATTGGGCTAAAGAAAAATCCCCAGCACTGCAAAAGGGTTAAATGCTTTTTTACATCTAAGGGGCTTCAGATGGCACTAATACCTACTATATACTCCACAGATGCTCTCCTTTATTTCTCCACATTGCAGCAGTGGACTGTTCCTCAGCGTCATTATGCCCAGTGCAGGGCTAGGCACTCTGCATTGGACTAATTGATGCCAGAGGAACTGCGATGACCAGAGCATAGGGTAAGAAGCTGAGGGACTGGTCTTACAGTCTGGAGGGAGCCTGAGCACAAATCAAAATAGCCTGCACCTCCTAGATCTGGGTAAGCATATGACCGTGCTAGTGCCTTGAGAGTAAAATCCACAACCAAACACCGTTCAAAGGCTTCTTATTCTCCTGGTAGCCAAACAAAGCATCCCAGGAGTGAAGATGGTCTTACAGCCTGTAGGGTGTCTGCTGGAGTGAAGGATTGGGTAATTAAAAGAGTTTTTTGCTTCCCCCTAGACATAAACAAGCCTTTAACCCTCCCCACTGCAAGGGATACTTTTTTTCTTTCCCTGGAGTTCAGCTGCAAATACTCACAGATATTTAACCAAAAACACGTAAAGCCAGTTTTCTGATCCAGGCTAACTTTCAAAACACACACAGATCGTTGCCCTCTATTGAAGCACCACTGCTTCATCGAAAACAATTGATTAAAGCACAGCACAGTATGCCAATTGGATAGTGATACAGTAGCACAGTGATGGGTTCATTATACTACACACTCTGCTTTTTTCTTATGTGGTCATAATCAGAGTATATTAGATCCCAGTATTGGTTCTTCTACATTCAATCTCTATGCTGCTGTACAGAAGATTATAGGAGACTGATATCATGTCAAATTTAGGCATGTACAGTAGATGCATTAGATTTCATGATTTGTAAATTATACAGTATGTAACTACATTATCTGGTGTCTTGCACTTGCTGCAAGTATTGCTGCACTTTTCTTTCAAGGAAGTCCTCTGCATTCCTTATGAGCAGTGCCTGTTAAGCAAGAGGTTTACTGAGATATTTAATGCATGTTGTTTGATGGGTGGGCTATGTGTATTTTAGCACATACTGTATGTGGGATACCTGCTAGCACCCAACTCTTATATGTACAGTACATAGCTTTTATATTCTAGATATTTGCAAAAAAACTTTATATAGTTTTTGTTCTAATTTTGTAGGAAGTGAATGATAACTCTACAGGAAAAGATTCTGATTTTATTAAACCACAAGATGCATTGAAAGGTTTGTATTTTTTTTTTCTTTTTTGGGGGTTAATCTTTTTTTATTACATTTTGTTTTGTTATTAAACAGTACAAAACGGATTTGTAAAAGCAAGTAACAGCAATACTGATACAAGATGATATATGTCCAAGAAATGTGCCAAATGAGAAAATTGACATATTCAAAAAAACTGTACAGGTAGTGAACCTCTTTACATTGCAGTTGAGGCATCCAACAACTAAATAACCACTAAATGCAGGTAATTAGTGAAAGCACCAGGAAGGAGAGGAGAAAAGGGAGAAAAAAAGAGAGGTGAGTTTGTGGATAGACCTGCCAAAGTCAGTCATGTGCTGGCAGAAGTTCTGGATCAGTTCCCCGAGGGAGGTGTTGGGATGTCCAGGGACTCCAATTGGCTTGGCATCGTTGAACCTTATCTGAAAGTTTTTTGCTTGGAGTTTTTCCTGCATGAGGGTTGTATTAGCCCTGGATTTTATTTTGGTCAAGGATGTCTGCCATGCCCTAGCTATGGTTTGCTGTTTTTGTAATTTTTTTTTTTTTTTTATTTCTGTGATATATCTTGTACCATTTTGTTAAATCATCTTTGATATTAATGTACAGTTTGTGTTGCGGTCACTAGTTTTCAGTGAAGATGCTGAATCCTGCAATCTGAAGAAAATGCCAATAATCATATGCAGAGATGTTAGGTAAGTCATATTGCTGTATCGGTGAGACCACTGCTGCTTCTGCTGGTAACATTTTTAAAGTAAACTTGTCAGAAACCTGGGCAAAGCATATGATGAAAAATGCCTAGGCAGAGAATGACTTCAGTGAAATCCATGGCAAAGCTATTACTAGATACAGTTCAGACATTTGAGGTTACATAATTAGGTTAAAAAAACACTAGTCCATGTAGATCAGTGTTTCTCAATCTTATTTTAGTCAAGGCACCCCATTCTAAAATGTGAAGAACTATTCTAATAGTTTTATATAATGCAGCAACATCCACACATGTAGGACACCCAACATTAGAGGGGATTTATTCTTCCAAAGCAAATACACTTTTGCATACTGGTACTGAGTAGTATTCCAGCATTTCTCTTCTCCCCTCAGTTTTTCTCCGTCACTGAACTAATGTGACTCCAGCACTGATGCAAAAGGGACAGGGGGGTCAAACTAAGATGCTATACAGGCAGCTGACATCCTCATCAACTGATGTCATTGGTTGTCAGAAGGCCGTAATGGTGCACAGTGAAAACCTGTGGCTTTGTGTAACTAAAAGGTACACGTGTTCCACCCGTTGGCTTTTATACAAGTTTGGGGCAATTTTTAGACTTTTTGCCAAGGCACCCCTGAAGAAACCTCAAGGCACCCTAGGGTGCCTGGGCACCCTGGTTTAGAAAGGCTGGTCTAGATCAACCATTAGAAAAAAAACACACACAAATAGAAAACCTCCATATACACTATCCTCTACCAACAGTTGATCCAGAGGAAAGCAAAAACCCCAATAAAGCATGATCCAATTTGCTCCAGTGGGGGGAAACACAACCTATCTGATCCCTTTTGAGGCAATTGGATATCCCTGGAACAACTACATCTGGTTATATCTGTTGCAGTAGACTTTACAGCTCTTACCTGTTCCCAGGTTTTTTCTTTTGATTGGAGAGGCCTCTAGGAGAGCTTGGAAGGGGTGGGGCACACCACAGTGTGCATAAAAGCCAAAGAAAGAAGTGACCATGCATCAGTTTTTTTGGCTCATACCTAGGGGGATGGATGTTTTTTTTTTTTTTTTTTTTTTTTTTTCTCTACTGAGGAAAATGTAACCATTTTATAAACAATTATCTTATTTTATCTTATTTTTATTTTTTCTGTTTAAACAACACTTCTTAAACCAGTTTTAAACTTAGAAGCAAGCACTGATTACATTGTAGCTTTCCAATTATTTGATGTGATTT